CACACACACACACACACACACACACACCATGGAAGAGCCATAGCTTGAAGTCAGGACTTACCCTAAGAATTCCCCAACTATCATGAGGAAACCATACTATAACCAAATCACAAAGAAGCCCTAGGAGAAAGGGGCTGCTGATGATTTAAGCAAAGAGAATTACAGATGGTAATTCTCCCTTAGGCCCAACTAAGGGACCCTAAAGGTCCATTGGAGTAGAAATGTGGCAACTGGTGGCTGCTAAGTCAGCAGGGACATCCTAAGTGGAGGAGGAAGGCCAGTTGATCCTCTGCAGGCTGACCTGTCTGTTGATACCACCAGGTGGTCAGCTGCTGGTTTTCACTGTCTGTGTCCAGATCTCCGTGGTCCCAGAGCCCCCATTCCCAGCAGTGGCCTGTTCAGTGGGCAGAGCGCTCAGGGCTATTCCTGGCTTCTTCCTGGTCCTTCTGTTTGAGGTATAACACTTGGACATGAAGCCACGATGCTCAGCCTCCCCAACCAAGCAGAGCCCAGGAGAGGAGTGGCCGCCCCCTCACGCTGTGATAGAGTCTCCGAACTCGTGAGTGACTTTAGTGAGCCTTGCAGATTACACCCAGAGACCGACTCATGGTAAAACCCGCCTCGGTCTGCCACAGGAAGGAGCACGCCGCGGAGGGTGGAAGGACGGATAGGAAACCCCGGTCAGCAAACGTTCACCTGTCCCGTCAGTGTCCCCTCGGGGGACTTGCTTCAAGGAACTAACTAAAAGGCCGGGACTACCTCTCGTGGGCAAAGGTGAGACGTGGCGCTCTGGTAGGAAAAGACCTGCAGGACTTCATGGGTAGAGCGACTCCAGCTGGCAGAGCTATTCTAAGGCCCTTGTCAAGTCTTTCTAGGGCCCATGGGTCTCAGGCCCCTGCGGGAGTGTACAGCACCTTCACGGGGGACCCTGCAGCCCCATTTGCATATATTCACGCAATTAACAGATGGTCACTGCTGATGGATATCAGGGCAGCTCTCCATAGGCTGGCCTGAACCAATCAGAATCTCGGTCCCAGGCCTGAGGAGTTGGGAGACAATGTCCTCCTCTTGATCGAGGCCTTTGCTGGCTTTGCCTCAGATCCACAGGAAACAGAAATGCAGCGTGACGCAGAGCAGGGAGGGCCCAGCGGGGCCTGGGGAAGCAGAACCAGGGGCCAGGGGGTCCCAGAAGTGCACAGACTCTCCCTTCCTGGGCCAGGGCCCTCAAAAGGAAGGTCATACTCTTGCTCTACGGATGTCACGGATGTCCCCTGTGTCCTCACGAATCTCCACAACTTAAGTGAGTGGGGAGCGGGCTCTGCTCTTCCCAATAAAGCCATCCCCAAGAGGGTTCTGTCTGGCTGCCCACGGGTCTAAGATGTTGGGGTGATGGGCGTGGGAGGTGGCCAAGGGCTCGGGAACAGGGAGGAGGAGGAGAAGCTTTCTATCCACCTGCTTCCTTGGAGCATCCTGCACAGGGAGGTGCTCGGCATGTCCTTGAGGTGGAGTGCTCTTGTCTAAAGGACAGGGCTGTCTCTTGGGGCAGCCGTTTTAAAAGTGGACCTGGAAAGGTCTGTGAAGTCAGCAGTGTTTGCCGCATCCTGCAACTCCTGCTTCTGTCTTTCAGGACCCTACCAGTGGTGGTGCTGGGGGTGAAGGGGACCTTCCACGATTCATGTCCATGGGAATTTCAGAGCATGACTTTGCTTGATGTATGGATTAACCTCAGATGAGGTCACACTGGAGTAAAGTGACCCTAAATCCAGGGACTGCCATCCTCATTAGAAAGGGAGAGGACACCAAGGTCCACATCAGGCAGCCCGCCCGTGACGATGAGGTCAGACTCAAGTGACGCAACGGCAGGCCGAGCAACGTCAAGGATCTCCAACAACCTCCGGAACTCAGGAGAGACTCGGGACCACCCAGAGGAGCCCACCCTGGTGACACCTTGGTCACAGACTTCTGGCCTCTGGAGCTGTGGGGACACGTTTCTGTGGCTCATGTCGTCCTACTTGTGGTCGTCTGTGATAGAAACCCTAGGAGATGAGTACAGTGCGGGAGAGGGCCAAGGGCCTCCCTGATCGCTGGCATTTTTTGGGTGATGGTGGAGAAGGCAGACTTTGTCCCAAAGTATGACTTGCTAATTTTGACTCTCCACGCTCCACTGGGAAAGCCATTTTGAAGGAAGCATAATCAAAATGCAAACAAATGCTGCCTCTTCCATTTACTCTTATTCACACTTTGACAGAAGGGGATTTATGTTCGCTGGGCACCTACTACATGCCAGGCAAAGTGACCGGTAGGGTCGCCTTTCACATTTCCCCTAATGCTCATGACTGCCCTGTGAGGGAGGAAGGGTTACGCCCATTATGCTGCTCAGGAAACCGAGGCTCAGAGATCATGAACACTTGACCAGAGAACACGGAGCTATCAGAGGCAGACCCCAGGTTCCAGTTCCCCAAAGCTCAAATCACTTCCATAAGTGTTTGTCCTTAGAGAAAAACCATTATTTTAAATTAGGGAGGAAGTGGCAAGTTTGGAGTGCGACTGCCAGAGTCCCAGGCAGGGAACTTAGAACAGTCTCCTGGGAGGTGCTCAGGCCTTCAGATGGTAACATTTCCTGGGACTTAGCAAGTCTGCCCGGTGAACGACACTAAGGTCACTGCCACTCTGGAGGAGCAGGAAATCTAACTTGCTGCCACATGATATGGGAGGGGAATTAATACAGGTGTGGGTCTTGGGGGGAGGAAGGGTGCATGGGAATAGTTCTCTCCTCCCTGGATGTCCTTCCGGTGTGCCATGCCCTTCCACATATGCCTTCTGGTGTGAATCTTTGACTTCTCGGGGTAATGGGATTAGCCCTACTGAACAAATAGTTGCAAAAAGTAAAGATCAGAGAGGTTGAGGGCCTTGTCTAAGATTGCACAGCTAAGAACCTCAATGCAGGCTTCCTCATATGATACTTCAGTGCCAGAGGAAAGGTCAAATGATTCCTGTTTATGAAGCACTTTCTACCTCAACAAAATTTGAAAGGTGAGAATGAATCACTTATCAAGAGAAAGTAGGAGGAGCAGCCCTTGGCTTGGACTGCTCAGACCCCTTCTCAGCCCTGTAGTCATAGGTAAAAGGATGATCAATCAGAGGGCAGAGTCTTCTTGGCCACTATGATTGGGCCAAGAGTGGTCACATGATCCAAGTTGGGCCAATCACAGTCTTTAATTTTCTGTTGGAGGCGAGGGTGGATGGGGATTAGCTCTTGACAGCCTAGACAGAAAAACAGATCCCAGACCAAAAACCCAGGAGGGGTAGGGATGGATGACATCTTCATCCTGGATCCACCTGTGCCTAAAGCCTACCTATTATCTGAGCAGCAAATTCCTTTTTCCTGAGCTGAGTTGAGCTGGGTTTCTGAAAGACTGGCACAGAATGCAGGCAATCTCCACAGAACTGAATCGGGTACTTTTGGTCATTACTTGAGATCAACTAGTAGCCCGAGTGGTGAGTCAGGGACCCCATGAACAAGTTGATTTCACATTAATGTAAAGAGCTGAAAGCAATTCAGGTGGGTGGTGGGACAGAGCTGAAGGGAGGCTTTATTTCCAGGCATCACTGGGGACAGAGGGTAGAGACCCTTCCAACTTCAACATGTAACTTCTAGTCACCCTGGGCCTGCACACCGTCGATGGGAAGGAAGAGGTTACAGATGGAGCCATCTTGATGGGCCAGGCCTGGGGTTCGAGGATATCAAGGGGTGACATTGCCCAGCAAGGAAGGCTGGGAAATGCAGTTTGGCCAGTGCCCAGCGTGAGAGGAAAGAGGTTTTGGTGACCAGCTTCTCCAGAGGTGGCATACTCTACAAATCTCACTCTCTGTCCCCGTCCCCACAGTCCACTCCTAATCAACACCTGCTCTCTTGGGGCCAGGCTTAGGAGCTCTGGAGGAGAGAGAGCCCTGCGGTGTGTCCTTGAGCGCCCCAGAGAGAGGACACCTCAAGAGGGGTTCCAAGCGGAGCCCTCTTGTTAGGAGCATCGTCTGGCGCAGCAGGAGGGAGGACCCAGCCTTCTGCCTCTCTGGAAAGACTTGACCACACAGCTGCGGTCTGCAGGCGCTCCTTGCTG